GCGCAGATCGGGGGCCGGCGCCCCAGCGCGGAAGAGCTGGGGGAAGCGATTCAGGAGCTAGATGTCAATATCTGAGCAGTCTTTCCCCACTCTTCCCCTCCCTCTCCTTAGTTTCTGTTTACCTGCAAGCAAGCCCAACTTCAAAACGTGCTGAAACAACTTCAATACGAAACACCGGTCAAAATTTCTCACAGCCCTACTTTCCATTAATTGACAAAATGTAATTTTTCAGTGGACCAAAACCCTAGTAATACATAGAGATGATGTCAGGCACTGAGCTCAAGGAAATTCTCAGAAGAGACTGTGATGGACAAAAGTAAAAAAAAAAAATTAAGAAAAGCAGAAGACAGTGGATTGTCTCTTCCACTCCTCTTACTGAACTCTTGGTATCCTCTACCTTCTAGAGAACTCAGGAGACCTGCAGGAGAGAAGCAGGAATTAAACCCAGAAGTTCTCCAAGTAAGTCATGGACTCTTGACATTCAAGTACTTTGCAGAGTCCAACAAACAACATGGATGTAATCATACCATTTACTGGTGTGAACTGATGCTTAAAATTCAAAATCAATTGAAAATAAATAGGAAAAAAGGGTTAGATATTTTTTATCCATTTGGCTTTTTTACTGTAGGATAGGAAATAGATGGACGTAAAAACCACAAGGGTAGACCTACTCATTCTAATTCAGAAGTTCATTCCCTTTGGGAACTGTCAAGTAAATAGGGAGGAGAAGAGGGAATTAAAAGCAACAAATATACACCGAATCCAAAAGCAATTGCCAGAAACCAAAAACTACAAAAAAAAAAAAAAAATTTACCTCCAGTGAAAAGGTTCCAGTGTCATCAGACAATACCATACCAGCATTTATTGTAACACTTTAAGATACTGACTGAACCAGAGGTTAACTTCCTAGTGTGTCCCTAAACACAAACTATACAGAGTGTGGTGGTCTGTACATATGAACATTACTCGCACACATTTATCAGTTCCCTAACTAACGATAATGGATAGTCCATTGGAATCTGTAGAAACACCTTTCACTTACTTTTCACAATTTTTGTGATCTTTTAGTCTACGTATGAAGTTAGTGTCTCAGACTAAACTCAAAAGACTGTCATTGGGCTACATGTTTGTACAGCATCTAGCACATTAGTGTTGCACAAAGGTAATTAAAGCTAAATGGCACACAGTGCATTACTTAAGTGGATCCCAATACCACCAAGACACTATCTTGGACTTTCATGTCAAACAACACATTACTCAATTTCAGTTTTCTTGAAATTGCCACCCAACTATGGTTTTCCACAAGAATGCTGCAGAAATTAGAGTATTTGTTGTAGTCATGGTGGTGCAGGAAATGTGAGAGAAGCAAAGGACTTTGGGCAATATCTTTATTAGATCAACTACGTTGATAGGAGAAATGTTAGAAAAGCTTCAGGCACAAAGTGCCTTCCTTAAGACCCTTTCTCCATTTCTGCTTCTTTTCCAGGCCTGAGGAAGGACACTTTGTGCCTCAAAGCTTCTTTTCCTGCAACAACATAGTTTAATAAAAGATACTGAAAAAGGATCCTTGTTATTCACAGAAATTAGATGCAACATGCTGGAGTACATAAAGCATTGATCCTAAAAAGAAGAGGAGAAGAATGAAAAAGTTTCAAGGACTATACACCTCTGTGTCAACAAAATAGTATTATTAATTAAGGTTGACAGTGATGCATATGTACAAAGAAAGAAACATTAATAATGAATGTTAATAAGTAAAAATCTCGGCTTACCTGCCTATCAATATCTGTGGCTTATCCGTCTCATTTGTAACACCAAAGACATCTGGAACTAAATCACCATTGAAACTGAAAATAAGAGCAAATTCAACATCATCTTAATGCAAACTATCAGTACTTGGTATTATAAAATGTCCTTTGTTCAACTTGAGACACTAAACAAAAGCATTTTGTTTTGTGCTTTGACCTTGGAGTTTCATTTCTACACCAAATTGTTTAATACCAGGGTTCATACAAATAATCTCCCATAGTACGTCAAACCAAGATGAGGACTTGATGCAGGGATATGTCAGATACTTCAAACTGACTTATATGAAGTATCTTCACCACTTTGCTTTAAAGTTTATCATGGGATTCATTTCAAATCAGTTTCTGCATTCTTAAAACAACCCTAACTGCATTTTTCCACCCCAAGTTTGAATAAAACCTCTTTCCAATTCCTAGTGTTCCCAAAAGTTCTTCTGGTCCAACTGTGGGAGAAATTGGTATAATTTAATAATCTAATCCCAATCATCATACTTTCAACAGACCTCCTTTCCTTTTTCCTTATTGTTCCAGACTCAACAGTATGCTCAAAAAAACCTAGCAGTTCTGGTAGCCTGTTTGTTTGCCCTAAGTCTGACTTCAAGACTGACCTGTAACATACTTTGAAGCATACAACACCAGCAAACATGGAATCTGAATTCATATATTGTTAAGATCCAGCAAAAAAAAAAAAGTCGCCAAAACTGCCAAGTTTGGCTGGCCTATTTGAGTACAGGGAACATAACAGAAGTATAAGAACATAACACAGGATAGCTTTAAAAAAATAAAATAAATCAGACAACATGTTAAATATTCATCCATTATAACATGGGTGCCTCGGAAGACTGGGCAAACATTTAAGCTTCAGGATCATGTTTCATTAACAGTTACTAACATTTACACAGCAAGACACAGAAATATATATAAAAAAAAATATCACTGTTGTGGATGGCATATTTTTATTCAAAATTATGAACATTATAGTTAAAAGAAATGTATTTCTAATAAAACTCCCATTTTCCTTTGTGTCCAATGCAAACTAAGTAGAAAATAAAAAGATACCGATCTCTTTCC